TCAGAGCGTGGGAAACAGAGCACCACGCGATCTGAATATTAGCAACAAAAAATCCTTCGTAGCCATTTCCTTTGCCAAACGGTCCGCAGTTCGAAACCCGATATCAGCACATATCGATGCGTTCAGAAATATCTCAGCACCTTCAACTGTTATTTCCCGGACAATCTTCACAAGTTTGTGAGACGGATCCTCGGAATACCATTTTTCCTCTCCTCCCAGGGTAAAGTACTTTCCAACATCAGTATCCTTGATTGCTAGCAAGGCACCAATAACGGCACCCAAGCGAACAATATAAATTTTCTTATCAAAGATGTGACGTGGAATCGGCCCCACTTTCTTCATGCGTTCTTCGACCATCTTCCAGTATCCCGCTTGCTCATCTGGTTCCAGACCGCGCTTCATCCATGCACACATCGCCCTCACATCCATCTCGTCGGGGCAATTCATGATGATTCGACTGGCTTGTAGTTGCTTCTCCCACTCATCATAGTTGGTTACCTTTGGCGATGACACCACAATCATGCCCCATCCGGTTGGGGGTAAAAAACCTGTTTCGGGCGGTGTTCCTTCCTTTGCCACATCGTAAATAATATACCCTTTCATCCCACGCTGCCACAAACCATACAAAACACTCTTCGATGTTTTGTTACCCTCGTATCTTGTCACGGTTTCGGTGGTTTTGTCAAACACGTACGCCGTTTCTCCAAAACAGTGGACAACAACTTGGAGCTCCTCCACATCGTAGTGCAGCAGCTGGTAAAGGAGGTACGAACCGGCAGCCGTCGACTTCCCGATCCCGGGCGTCCCAATCAACACACGCGACAAAGGTGAAGAATTGAGAGTCAAATCAAAATTGCTGAACCACTTGGTTAGATCGTCAAGGACGATCTGCCACACTCGCTCCACCTCGCAGTTAATAAAGAAGTCATTACCAGCCCCATGCGGCGCATTCAGCGTGTACGGCCATCCCTTGTCCGAGGTGAGCACCATCAACACGGGAGGTTCCTCACCGGATTTCCGCACAGCGTCATCCTCTTCGAAGGTGTCGCCAACTTTCTTGTAATTCCATGAGTGTTTCGGTTTCCCCTCCTTCGCCTCCATTTCAGTCCCCTCGCCGCCAGGGACTTCCACGACATGATGCCAACTCGCATTGTACACAGACTCGTACAATCCCTCCAGTTTCATCGGTGCAATCGTCGTCATTCGGTTCCTCGCTTCCTGAAGGGCTGCATCCAATGAGTGTTTAGTGAGTTTATGAACACTTGCCGTTACCTCCGCAGCAGCCACCAACCAATTCAGTAGAGTGTCCACACCATTCTCGTAAAGCTTGTGTACATCCTCTTCCATATCCATTTCATCCCTTACAGTCCTCTCCATCATCACATAACGATCGGATGCCTGCATTTCGCCCAATACTCCCGCATCGCAAATATACTTCTCGGGATCCTTTAAAACCCCTCCTGCAAGAATTTCCGATTGGCGTCCACAAAGCCCCTGCCATCAAATCTCCTATTAAGAGGCTCATTCAGCTTTCTGTCCATGACACAAACTTTTCGTTTAAAAAGTACATCTTCAGTCTTAGTTACAACGGTGAATTTTCTTCGCTGCTCCGAGTATCCGTCTGGCATTTCAAGAGCTGAATCAAGTTTTTGCATTGCCCGGAAATTGATCGTGTCTTTCCTCTCATAGTCCCTCCATTGATGAAGAAAGAACACACCCTCGTGAAGAAGTTTGTACACCTGGTAGTGTATCAAATTAAGAATTCCTTCAAGAAGCTGCTGGCCTTTTACGTAAGCATCGAGTCTCCGAATAAACATCTCCCCCGTCGCATTGTAGTCTTTCATCAACGGTCGTCCTGGAGCCAATACGATTCCAAAAAAAATATTAAGCTTCAAGCTGGTGCTGAGAGTATCTCCGTCTAGCATTAGATCTTCCACCAGGCTGTCAAGAGTCCACGGCGGTCACTCTTTACTCCCCGCCACATTTCGAGCTGCAGCGTCGGAGCCAACACAGATGCCGCTGGCTCCAAAGGACACTCGCGGCTGTTTCGTCCCGCAGTCCCAATGGCGTTGGGCGTGGCACTCGCACGGCTCGGTGGTCGGTGCGCCACGCAGCCGCACTGCAACGCCTGTCGGTGAAACACTCAAGGCCCACAGCCCCCGCAGCAACGCAACGTGCAATCGGCCACAACACCGCCAAACTATTCTCCTTTTTTATTCTATTTTGTTCACTTTGTGTGTCAGTTTGCCCCATCACCGACACCAAAAATAACTGCACAGCTTCACAGAGGAAGAAATCTTCTGGGCCGCCGGCCGGATCCTGTAACTGCCCCCCCAAAAAAAGGAAAAAGCGGTAAATAAAGAGGTAGTGAGTTCTCCGTAATGTTTGCCCCAATGTGTCTATGTATACACATTCCGTCAATCACTGCCCTTGACCTCTGCAGATGGTTACAAATAAAAACAATTATCCCCTGCCAAGCGGCAGGCCTTTGGGCTCCTCCACCCACAAGGTGGGAAGCACAAATTGGGTGGGAAAGCAAAAATAAAAAATAAAAAATAATAATTTCGTCTGGCAGCTGTCGGCTCCCTGACTCCCTCAATCGCGGTCTCCCAAAAGACAGTGCGATAGAAGAGAAAAAAGCTGTGAAGAGATATCTTCGCTTGCGCGAGATATGAATTTATTTGGGCAGCCAGCCGCCCTCTCAAGCATTCTTTTCACAAAATCCCATGAAAATAAAAAAAATTATGCGGCCCCTGTAGTGCACAACAGCCTCCAGTGACGATGCGCCTCTGGTGGAAAAAATAAAATAAAATCAAAAAAGGGTGGGTTGAGTATGGCACTGCCGATCACAACGGTTCTCTGAAAAGAAAGGCATTCACTGTCTAGACCTCGTAGGCACACACATATAAAAATCGTTAAAATACTCCCAATATATTTCACTATAAGCAAAATGCACTTTGTTCCCCAATTATTTTTTTCAATTTCCTTGCCTATCCCATTTCTAAAAGATTTCTGTATTCACTTTGCTCGAATTCTATTTACAAAATCAGTTGTCAACGCAAACTGGTATTCGTGTACCTTTCGGTCCCAGAACGCCACAATCTCTTTTTCATCGTCGCTCAAATTAACGGTATTGACGGGACCACATCTCTGCCAGTTCGTTATCAATGTGCTGTTTTCGTGCTGCACATAAATCATCTCCCACGACATGTCTCGGGATAACTCGTCCCAAACATTAAAATATGCCGCCAAGCGTTCATTGAACAGACTCACGGTGCTGGGAATGGTGTGGTGCTCACCCGCCGTCGTCATCCGCAGCCCAACCAGCGTCTTCCGCGGCGAATCAACAAAGAAAAGGCCGTCCACCAGCGGAAAGTTTTGGACCGCCGGTATGTACAGCACCCTGTACTCCATCGGAATCCTCGTGACACCGCCTTGCAGTTCCTCTAATCCAACGGTGCGAGTGGGGTACCCTTGATGGTTTAACTTCAGCACTGAATCCTGTGCTTCTTTACTTTTTGATGACCTCAGCTCCTTGAGTTCCTTTGCTAATTCAATGACAAACTCCCCATGCATGAATATGCGCAAACCAAATTGTTCCAGAGCGTGGGAAACAAGAGCACCACGCGATCTGAATATTAGCAACAAAAAATCCTTCGTAGCCATTTCCTTTGCCAAACGGTCCGCAGTTCGAAACCCGATACGAGCACATATCGATGCGTTCAGAAATATCTCAGCACCTTCAACTGTTATTTCCCGGACAATCTTCACAAGTTTGTGAGACGGATCCTCGGAATACCATTCTTCCTCTCCTCCCATGGAAAAGTACTTTCCAACATCAGTATCCTTGATTGCTAGCAAGGCACCATTAACGGCACCCAAGCGAACAATATAAACTTTCTTATCAAAGATGTGACGTGGAATCGGCCCCACATTCTCCATGCGTTCTTCGACCATCCTCCAGTATCCCGCTTGCTCATCTGGTTCCAGACCGCGTTTCATCCATTTACACATCGCCTTCACATCCATCTCGTCGGGGCAATTCATGATGATTCGACTGGCTTTTAATTGCTTCTCCCACTCATCATAGTTGTCCAGGTTTGGCGATGACACCACAATCATGCCCCATCCGGTTGGGGGTAAAAAACCTGTTTCGGGCGGTGTTCCTTTCTTTGCCACATCGTAAATAATGTACCCTTTCATCCCACGCTGCCACAAACCATACAAAACACTCTTCGATTTTTTGTTACCCTCGTATCTTGTCACGGTTTCGGTGGTTTTGTCAAACACGTACGCCGTTTCTCCAAAACAGTGGACAACAACTTGGAGCTCCTCCACATCGTAGTGCAGCAGCTGGTAAAGGAGGTACGAACCGGCAGCCATCGACTTCCCGATCCCGGGCGTCCCAATCAACACACGCTTCTCGGGCTTAAAGTCGGTCTCACCGTGAGGGCTGAACCACTCGGTTAGATCGTCAAGGACGATCTGCCACACTCGCTCCACCTCGCAGTTAATAAAGAAGTCATTACCAGCCCCATGCGGCGCATTCAGCGTGTACGGCCATCCCTTGTCCGAGGTGAGAACCATCAACACGGGAGGTTCCTCACCGGATTTCCGCACACCGTCATCCTTTTCGAAAGTTTCGCCAACTTTCTTGTAATTCCATGAGTGTATCGGTTTCCCCTCCTTCACCTTCATTCCCGTCCCCTCGCCGCCAGAAACCTCCACGACATGGTACCACCTCGCACTGTACACAGACTCGTACAATCCCTCCAGTTTCAACGCTTCAATCGTTGTTGTTGGTTTACTCGCTTCCTGAAGGGCTGAATCCAAGGAGTGTTTAGTGAGTTTATGAACAGTTGCTTTGACCTCCGCAGCAGCTTCTGACCACCCAAGTAGATTGTACACACCCTTATCGCGAAGCTTGCGCGCAACTTCTTCCAAATCCACTTCATCCCTTACAGCCCTCTCCATCCTCGCATAAGCATCGGATATCTGTATTTCTTTCAATGCTCTCTTATCACGGATATACTTATTGGGGTTCTTGAAAAACTCCTTCAGCAAAACATCCCGATTGGTGGCCACAACGCCCCTGCCGTCCAGTTCCATCGTAAGAAAGTCGTTCAGCTTCATTTCATTGACGCGGACTCTTCCTTTAAACAGTACCTCTTCGATCTTAGTGGAAATGGTAAATTTCATTTCTTGCGTTCCTTTTAGCCTTTCTGTCAGTATCTGAGTGAGGGCTGCGTTTAGTTTTCCCCTTGCAAGAGGAGTGACCGTATCCTTTCCTTCATAGTCCCTCCATTGCTCGAGAGAGAACACACCCTTGTGATGAAGTTTATAAGTAGCCTCCAGCTCTTGGTACTCTGTTAAATTAAAAATAATTCTAGGAAGCCGCTGGTCTTGTACGTAAGCATCCGGCTCCTGAACAAACGCCTCCATAGCGACGTTCTCATTTTTTTTCACAACGCCCTTGCCGCCCAAGTTGCTCCGAAGGAAATCGTTCAGCTTCGTGTCGGTCCTGAGAGTGCTTCCCTCCAGCAGAGTGTCCCTTACGCTGCTGCTCATGGTCCACTGCGGTCGCTGTTTACTCCCCGCCACATGTCGAGCTGCAGCGTCGGAACCGTCGCCGGGGATGCCGCTGCGAGGTGTCATCACAACACCCGTGCGGTGAAGCATCCCACTCGCACCGCCCAACTGCGGCCAGCAGATGTCGCTGGCTCCAAAGGGCAGTCGCGGCTGTTTCGTCCCGCAGTCCCAATGGCGTTGGGCGTGGCACTCGCACGGCTCGGCGGTCGGTGCGCCATGCAGCCGCACTGCAACGCCTGTCGGTGAAACAGTCAAGGCCCACCGCTCCCGCAGCAACGCAACGTGCAATCGGCCACAACACCGCCACATTATTGTCCTTTTCTATTTTATTTTATTCACGTTTTCTGTTTGTCTGTTTTCCCTATCACTAACACTAAAAATAAGTGTGCACCTTCACAAAAGAATAAAAAGAAAACACGATCCCACCGTACCGATGCAACTCAGCACCCTCCTCCATCCACCACCATTGCCGCACAGGAAAACGCAGTCACATCGCAGAGTCAGCACCACAATGTGCACCACACCATCTTGCACTGAACGATGGGCGAGACGCAGCCATGCATCGCCCCGCTCCATTTTCCCACCACTCAAGTGTTGCGTGTCCGCACAAAGTAGCAAACAGAATCAGAGTGCACACAAACCCAACCAACACCCTCACTCGCTGAAGCACATCATTCGCATGGAGTGACAACATTTAGGAACACACCAGCAGTAGCAGGCTGCATGGAATTTCCCTGCCAACCCTGCAAAGAGACAACAACTCTGCGTAGTCAAGGTGACAGTCCCTTGGTGTTGCCCGCAGTCCACATGGCAGGACAAACTCCACGCACGCATAGTTCCGGATCCCGCGCTGTTTGAGTGCACATCAACAATACACGTAAAGAAAATACGTGCACACAAGATGACGTTTAAATAAGTAAACTCTTCAGCCTGTTTTGTTTGATGGCGTTGGCGGGCAATCCCGCACAATCCAATCAAAGTGAGACGCCGGGCAGAATGGCTTCAGTTAATAAACAAAAATAATTGCGTCAATGCAAAAAAGCAACGGAAAGTTGGCGCATGCGATTGACAGTCTCAACTGAGGTGCCGAGGAGCACTTCGGTGTACAACTGGCCGTCAGGCTGAGAGGACAAATAAAACAAAAGGGCAGCAAACCCTCTCGTTCAATGTTTTCTAGCAGCAACAAGAGAAAACAAAAATAAAAGATGCACAAAAAAAAGTGTGTAGACAATTCCCTCTCATCGTAGCCCCCATTTATCTCAAAGCTGGACGTTGTTGAAGTGCAAGACATTATTAAAAACTGAGGAAAAAATTACATCCGAGACTTTTGCGTGATGAGTATCCGGAATACTCTTGACGACAGTGAGGGAAAGGCAGACGCCTTGGTTCCCCCCACATTTAGCCTGACAAAAAAAAATCCCACAAACATTCATTTGTGTGGTTGCAGTAAAGCTTTGCCTTGACAAATCAACAACAGTATTAACAAAGGGAATAATAAGCAGGAGAAATCCAGGCGATTGCAAGGGCAAGGCATCTTCCCATTGGAATTATTGTACATCCTAAAGAAGAGCACCTGACAAGATAAAGAATAAGACCATAAAATCATTCTGCGACCACACAGACAGACACACACCCACACACAATCATATCCCTCTCCCCTGCTCAGTTTTATCACACCAAACACAAATAGGCCCAAAACACTCCACCACCCAAGAAATGGATGCAGAAACAAATAAAAATATAAAATTGGCAATAAATAAATAAAAATACTGCCTCCCACTGCAACAGTTTTACTCACAAAAATTAGTCAATGCACAACTGCACATCAAGTTTCTGTCCCCATAGCTTCCATCGATGCGGCCAACTGAAGGCCAAACTTTTCGGTGGATGAATGGCTCGAAGGGAATGCAGCAGTTTTCCGGGCGTATGGTCTGTCCCAATCATCTGATGCGACACACTTTGCCGTGTGCGGGGCATTCTTGAGAAAGTTGTTCGTTGTGCTCTCTTCACCCTCCTCTATGGATGCAATTTCGGTACGAATGGAAATAATTGCATCGGCCAAACGATCCAACTCCCGCTTTGACTCTGACTCTGTGGGTTCAGTCATGAGTGTTCCCGCAACAGGAAATGCCAGGGTAGGTGAGTGAAGGCCATAATCCTTAAGTCGTTTCGCCACATCTTCTGCCTCAATTTGTGCTGTTTTTTTAAGGGCCTTAAATCAATGATAAACTCGTGAGCGCAGAAATCGTTTTCCCCCAGAAAGAGAACTGGGCAGTGGCCGTCAGGACGCTTCCTTAAATAGTTGGCATTTAAAATCGCATACTCCGTGCATGTCTTGAGACCCCGTGAACCGAGCATCCACAGTAATAAATAAGAAACTGGAGGAATAGACGCTGATCCGTATGCCGCTTGAGAGACATGACCAAAAGGCTGGGAACCACCAACATTTTGAATAAAAACAGAATCTGGCAAGAATGAAGCCAGATGCTGACGAACAGCAATAGGACCATGCCTGGCCCACCACCACCACGAGGAATTGAAAACGTTTTGTGGAGATTAATCTGGCACACATCGCCCCCAATACATCCAGGTGCCGTGTAACCCACCATGGCATTCGTGTTTGCACCATCAATATAACATTGCCCTCCATCGTAGTGCACCATCGAAGTAATGGCCAAGATTTCCCTGTCAAACAAGCCATACGTACTCGGATACGTTATCACAATGCACGAGAGATTCTTTGTATGCTTTTGGCAAAAATTTTCCAAATCCTTCATGTCAATCCTTCCATTCGCCACTTTATCTTTACAATCACCATCCCTGCCAAGAGAGCCGAGGCAAAATTTGTGCCATGAGCACTTTCCGGAATCAAGCAAACATTGCGATGGCTCTCCTTTTTTGAATTATGATACGAGCGGATCACACGAAGACCAGCAATATTCACCCTGAGCACCACTATTTGGCTGAAGTGACACGGCATCTAAAGCGGTAATATCCCTTATTTTCTGCTCCAGATCCAAACACAACGCACTATGTCCTCGCGTTTGCTCCTTCGGTGCAAGAGGGTGAAGGTTGGTAAATTCTGGCCACGACAAGGACAACATGGCGGCAGCTGGATTAAGTTTCACGGTACAAGAACCCAAGGGCACACAACCATGCGTGAGACCATAATCTTTTCCATGAAGACGGTGAATGTACCGCATAAGCTCACTCTCACTCTTGTACTTTTGAAAGATTGAATGCCCAAGAAAAACATGTTTTCGTAGCATTTGCAAAGGCATTGCTCTCTTTTGTTCTGCGAGTTTTGAAAGGACACCTATCACAGTAAGTTTTGGCCCTGCTGCCTCCAAGAGAGACACTACATGGCCCTCGGTAGTGGCCTCATCCACCGATATAGAGACGGTGCCATGACTATAATCAACAAAAATATTAATGCCTTTTTACACGCAGCATGCCACGTAGTCTTCAGGCGTTATACCTTTTAAATTTACGGTGATGGTATCAAAAAATGCACCATTGACCACTGTATGCCCTACAGACTCTAAACCAACGGAAAGTATTTTGGCTTTACTGAGCATTTCGCTCGCAATTTCCTTCAACCCTCAGAGCCGTGATAAATGGCATAAAATGCCGCAACATTTGCTAGGAGAGCTTGTGAAGTACGAATATTGGATGTGGCGCGTTCCCTCTTAATACGTTGCTCCCGCGTCTGAAGCGCCATGCGTGTGGCCGGACAACCCGTCGAGTCTTTACTTATACCAATGACGCGACTAGGAATCAATCGCTTAAATTCCTCCTTGACAGCAAAAAATGCGGCGTGAGGCCCCCAAACCCTAGTGGGGCACCAAAACGGTGGGCAGATCCCAAAACAACATCGGCTCCCATTTCTCCCGGAGGTTTGAGAAGAACAGAAGCCATCAAATCTGTCCCGCAACAACTGACGACACCATGTCGTTTTGCCTTGTCAAACAGTGTCGTAAAATCATGAAGCATCCCCATGGCATCTGGAGTTTGCACCAAAATTCCACAAAGTGAGGAATCGCTCCAATCAATCAAATTTGGATCACCAACAACGACCTTTACTTTAAGGGGCTCAGCCTTTGTTTCTACCATCTCTACGCAAGATGGCAAGACATCCCTCGATAATAATAAAAGTTCATGCGCTCCTTTCAACCATGATGAAAGGCAAGGTACATTGCCTCAGCACATGCAGTAGCTTGATCCAGAAGAGATGCATTTGCCAAATTCATAGCTGTCAAGTCTATAATCATGGACTGAATATTCAACAGGGACTCTAGACGGCCTTGAGATATTTCAGCCTGGTAAGGAGTGTATGGGGTGTACCATGCAGGATTCTCGATAACGTTACGAAGTATTACAGGTGGTGTGCCCTGGCTCATAGTAGCCTTGCCCAATCATGCTCCTTAATACCTTATTGCGTGAACCCAGTGAATGGAGAAGCGAAAGGGCATCCTGCTCGCTCACCGCCGGAACCTCTTTTAAAGGACTTCGCAAAATATTCTCTGGGATCACAGCAGTCATGCGGTCCGACAGACTTTCCTTGCCAATTATTCAAAGCATAGAAATTGATTCTGCCGCTGATGGTGCAATATGGCGATTGACGTAACTGTTTGTAGCAGTCCGTCGTACAAACGCCAGTGGCAACGTGGAGAAATGATGAAAGCAACGATACATTATTGTGTTAGATATGTGCTCGCCACCCTCCTTCTCTCTCTCGCACACGCGTTAGTTTTCCTTTACTTTGGATAAAAATTGGGCTTCACAGTTAAAAATCCACAGGTACAAATACAAAATATAATTAAAAAATAAAAATAAATTTAAACAATAATCAAAATGATAATAATAACCCAGTAAAATAACAACCAAAAAGAATTGTCAATGAAAATAAGCACGCATTTATACGAGCAATTCCAATTTTCATCCCCGCACACCACACATAGCCCCCGCGTCCCTTTATCCATGGACCTTCACGTCGGGTATTCACTAAAGTGGGCGTGACGAAGGGCGCCAGCCGCAGTCAAACGCTTCTGAGGATCCAGGCAAAGTAATCTTCGCAACAAATCCAATGCACATTCAGAGGCATCCGGGAAAAATTCACGGAGAGGAAGAGGACGCTTCGGCTCAAAGTGCGCCTTTCCCCAATCGGGAAGCAGCACCGCCGATGGCCACGATGTGGGCGTCGGTGCCCCTAATACATCAAATATTCGTGGCAACTGCCAAATATCTCCATCGCCTGCAAAAAAGGCACCACTGTGCCCCGTAGAAGCTCCGCAAATACGCACCCTGATGACCACACATCAATTTCGGGTCCGTAGTGTCGCTGGCCCAGAAGTAACTCGGGAGCCCGGTACCACCTCGAAACGACTTCGTGAGTCATGGATGCTTCCGTATCCCATACACGACTAAGTCCAAAGTCGCCGAGGCGTAGTTCCCCCTCCGCAGTCAAGAAACAATTTGAAGGTTTCACATCTCGATGAAGAACACCCTCGCTGTGTATGTACGCTAACGCCAAAAGAAGCATCTTAAATAAAGACTTTGCCTCTAACGCGGGCAGAGGATTGCTGGCAGTTCTCCCCGAGAGGACTGTTGCCAAGTCAGTCTTGCAACGCTCCATCACTAACGCCAAGGAGCAGCCACACGGAACCACCTCATATGTCCGAATAACAAAAGGATGCACCAATCGCAATGCAACGAGTGGTTCCCTCGCTGTGGGGTGCGGAATACCCTCATCGAGACGTGGAGTTGTGATGCATTTGATTGCGGCTGGCACTCCAGATTCCTTAACAACTGCAGCACGAACGACGCCAAAGCGGCCCTCACCAATTGGGGATCCAACAATAAAACGATCCATGTCAAGCGACCAACTCTCTCTTCTTTATTTCTCTTCTCCACCCCTCTCTTCCATTCTACAACATCGTGAAAATATAAATGGAACACAAAAAATTGACTCCGGTGATGCCAAAATCCCTCCGCACCCAAAGATCATCCTCAATGCCCCTCCCTAATGAGCACATGCATAGAAACTGAAAGAACTCCAATTTATCTCAAAAGAATCCATTTGTTGTTGTGGTGGTAGTTATTGTTTTCTCCTCGTCAGAATCTAATTATTTCAAAAACTTTCTCGTATTTAAGAATTCTGACTCCCTATTCACAACAGGGGCAGTCGCACTAGAGTACATCTTTGCTCGAGCGAACAAACTCACTCTGTCATTCCTGGGTTTCTCATGGCACAATTCCACCTCAACAGGGGGAGGAGGAGGAAGAGAAGAAGACTGCTGCCCTTCCGTGGAATATTTCGGTTTGGCTGTGGCCACATCACCCTCATTTTTGGCCTGCAGTTGTGCCGCACGATCCTCAACCAAAAAGGGAGACTGATCCATAGTCGTGTTCTCAGGGGCAATAAGATCATCTACACAGACAAGAAATTCCTCAGCGCCTGTGCTCAATGCACACTCCTGAGAATCATCCGCACAACAACTGCCTGTATGCTCCCTCACCACCAATGATTGACTGAGAGAGTTGTTTTTCCGCAAGAGCTCATCACGTAGTTTATTAACGGTTGACGCGCCACCCCAATTGGCTGCTACTCGTAAGGGAATGGAGTGAGTTGCCCTCCGAACTGTCGCATTGGGGATGCTGCTGTACGTCTTTGGACGCCGATTCGTCCGGTCCGTTTTTATCTCCGTAAAAGACCCGCGTGTACGGCCCAAACCTCCCTCTTGCGTGCGCCGCCAAAATGCATCATACCGTTGCCTCTTGCTTCTCAGAGATAAAGACGGCGCGTCTTCGGATTCACGATCGCTGATGCTCTGCTCACTTTCCCCCGAGTCATCCGGAGATAAAATACGTCCAATTGTTTTTGTTGCGTTTTGTGAAAATGCGTTTGCTACACCTGCGGCACCCGCGCTCCCTCGCCACCAAAAGGAACGCTGTCGCCAGATTCCTTCCTCGCCTTCTTAAACTCCTTCAGAAAAACGGAAACGTCCATTTTCTTCAAAAGTAAAAAGAAGAAAAAGAAGCAAAAAGAAAAAGAAATGAACATGTGCTTAGATGAGGTCGTTGACGTCTTATCCTCAGAAATATAAGAGGAGGAAAACACAACAAAATGGGAGAAGACAATTCAGCCACACATCGCTCCGCATCAACGCGCTCCAAAGAAAAATCATCCAGCACGCATGCACACGCAACAAAAGCCATCAGACAAATAAATCGACAAGAGCCAAACTCGTCGTAAAGCAGCAGAGCCGCAGCCTTAATTTAGTGCCCCTTTTAGCCGCCGGACCCCCCTGCACCGCGTGAGGCGCAATGAAGGAGGCGGGCGGGACGACAGAAGGAAACTGCAGCCGCCACCTTCCCGCGCAGCACCATCAAAATTCGCCCCCACAACTCACACATTCGTTCCAAAAAGTTTCTAAAAACTAAAAGCTAAAAACGCTGCAAATCAATAAATATGAGATGTTTTGAGCACTGCGGATTGCAAGGCGGAGCATCCACGTATTCCACAGGAGGGCGGACTGGCACTTCAATTGGAAGGACAAAAATTCATAAGTTTTTCCTCCTCCTTTCGTTTCTCCGTGAGAGCGGGAACGCAGACGAGGGAAAACTCACAGTTTTTCAACGAAAGAAATTCTTTTAACAAAAAAAAAGACGGCAGCCAAATGAGGGCCATTTTTTCTGCAAATTGTGCCGGAGACAAAAGAACACCAACAAATAACACACGCGGAAATTACAAAAACACAAACACGTGAAATTAAAAATAAAGAGGCAACAACTAACATATCATACCGTCCTTATTTTCATTACAGAGTTCGTTACAAAAAAAATCCTCCATAGGATCCCCATCGTGCGCATGCTGCAGCTCGGAGGCAGACAGAGTCGAGAGAAACAAGTGTTTACAATGAGATGCCACATCACTCGCATTGGCCTCATTCTCTACAACAATGGATTCACTTGAAACCTCAGTTTTCGCAGTAAAATCTCTCTCTCAGCCGTTCTAATCGACTTGAAAGATCCACGGCCCAACCTGAAGTGCACATTCACCAAACGCTTAGCGAGCATCAACACGGTTTCCCCATCACTCACCGTAAGTAAAATCACCTGACACCTCGCAGCTGATACATCAATAAGAACATGAATTACGTCAGAGCCCTCTGAATACCGAAGGTTGTCCTGCGGTGCAGCAAGAAAGGCGAGGCCACCGGTGTGTTGCCCATCACCCATAGAGGAGCATACACCTGCAACAGCAGCGGAAACATCGTCGTCGTCATCATCCAAATCAGCATCGTCAGCATTCTCCTCGTCGGGAAATGTACCTGCGGTATTTCGATCTTCTTCTCTTCGTGGCGTCCAAGAGACAGCAGTTGCTGCCTGGGCGAATTCAGTAGCCAAAAGATCGGACTCGCAATTACAGGCATTCACACCGTTCAACTCTTTATGGTGGCTCTGAACACTAGCACAGGACGGATTTGTAGCCTGCGGTGTCTTTGAGAGAAACTCAAAACATTTGCGTCACACCCGTCATGGTTTATTTACATGAAGATTTTGTGACTTAACAAAAAAGCTCGAGCATGACGCACAGAAAATACCGCCAAAGTGCCGACAATGATGACGCCTGCACCCGAAATTAAATTTGACCTCACATAATTCGCACTTCTGCATTGAGCTATCAGACGTCCATTCGCCTAATACCGATGGCCTGATCGTCATGTGCCATACTTTATTTCTACTGCATTTAGTAACAGACATAGAAAAGAATATGTGCATACAAATACATAAATAATATCACACGTGAGGGACATCCGTAACAGTAATGATAAGGCCAACCATATGAAGGAAGCTAAGCCGCAGACACACACACTATATATATATAGGGAAAGAGAGAGAGACGGAAAGAAAAAAAAAAGGGAAAACATTGTTGTTGCTTTTTGGTGTTGTTTCGTTTCACAAAAATTGCCTCTACTGTCATGTGCAGCAACTTCAATCACGGCCCCAGTGAGTCCTCACCATCACTCTTTTTTACCATGGAAGACAATGGCAACCAAGAAATATTCACCTGAGACGGTGAAGAAGAGTCCCCGTCGTCACTTCCACTCATGGAGTCTTCACGCAGGCTGCCGTTTGCGAAGGAGTTGTGGATCATCGTTCTAAGAGTGTGCCATGCGCGACGAGCCCGAGACGGTGCAGGAATTCATTCAACATGTCGTCGGGGCCAGGGGCTGAGCCACGCAAAGAGTCACGGATGGTCACGTCAAGTTCATGCGGCAGGAAAGGTCGATCCATTTCCCAGCCACCAGGAACCAAAGGAGTGCAGCGAGCAGCGGCAGCAGTATAAGGCAGTATGGCACGTGAAACCGCACAAAATGACGGACAAGCAGGTTTGCCTGTTGCCGAGGCAGGGCGCATATGCGGCCAAGATAAGTGCGGAGCACAACCGATTCCAAAGGATGAGGGTGCGGCGCCGCCACGCCGTGAAGATACTGCCACCTCGGGCTGGGTGAGGCTCCAAGTCTTTTCGCACGGGCTTCCAGAAGCACAGCGGAGCAACGGCGTAAGGCTTGATTTCGTTCCTCCCTTTTTCGGGTACATTCGGCTCAAAGCGGGCAGTCTCCGGGTGAGGCAATGTGTGTGCTTCGTGTGCTGCTTCGGCGGCGAACTCGGCCTGTTCCATTTCGTGGGTCCATATCTTTTTGGAGCTGTCACGGCTGCCGCGCGGGATATGGCGCTCAGCTGTTCGTAAGATGCCTCCGCGAGGATCCAACCATGTGGACGCGGTGGCAAGGAGGGTTTCACACAACAATGAAAAAGCAGGCCAATCCGCCTTGCGCAGGGCAAAGATGGCTTTCTTCCGCCAAGGCAGCGTGTTTGCTAGTCGTGGAGTGCCATCGTCCATCTCTACCAAGTAAGATATTCAGCAGTGGTCCGAGTCCATGTAAGGGGCGAATGTCCAGTGGGAGATGCGTAGGGCGCAATACGCAGTCACGTCAGGGGACGAAGCATTACGATGTGTGATCCGTGTTGTCTGCGCCGGGTCATTTGCCGGCTCAAAATCCATATCGATTAGAACAGCGGCGAAATCATCGCCTCCAGTCCTTGATGGTACATATGACTGTCCCAGAGTTCACGATGCAAATTCGGGTCACCCGCGATAATCTCTTCGGGCACAAGCGACAAACGATATTGATGAATGCGGATTATTGACCAATTGCTGTGGGAGGGTTGTAGAGATTCGCCACGCAAATGCTGCGACAGCCCGGTGGAAATACACGGAAAGCAATGGTCTCCAGGAGGTCAGTGCCAGGGAGCGACAGGCGCTCGCACGGTAGAGAGTGGCGCACCAGAATGGCAACGCCACCACCGCGCCCAGTGAGGCCTGAAGGTAGTCATTATGGCCAGATAATTTCATCGCTACGTCACCACGGTTATTTAGTTCCTGCAGAAGAACGATGTCAGGTGGACGCTGCTCCAATCGCGCCGCAAATGCAATATTTTTCACGGACGAGAGGCCTGCAATGTTAAGCTGCCAAATATTGATGTTACCATCCTCCTCGGGCCGGGGTTCTTGTGAACACCGCAGCGGCATGTGATATCAACGGAGTGACCGCTGCGAAACGGTCGTGCAGTTTTGTCCGACAGTCTGCGGGCAGACCGCCTCACCTTCCCGCACCGGGCATAGCGTGGAACCTTCTCGAGAGGTGGAGTCGTCTTGGTCTCCGTCGTGCTCGCGGCAACGCCCTGCTGCGGAGTTCCTATATGCAACCAAAGCCCCAGCACCGCGAAAGGGTACGGACCCCATCGCTGGAGTACACTGCAATACCCATATATCGTGTAATTGTCGTTAAGTTCTTACCCACAGTCACAAAAAAAAGCAAGGCATTTAGGGGCACACACAACCACAACGGGGCGTCAGAAAAAAACAAACAGGATGACTGCTAGAACGCGACACTGCACGGCTGCCCACGCCGTGGCGAACCGCGGGAAATATGCTGGAAAGTAAGAAAAGATAAATCCGTCTTCCATTATGCATTCACTCAAAAAAAAAAAAAAACTGCACGTTGCTGCGTGGCCTCCAAATCGGTGCGTTTGTTTCGCCTGCAGATAAAAAATAAATAAATGTGTTGCACTCGTTATAGTCTTTTAAACCCCCGGTGCCCAGACATTATTTATATTCTACTGGGACACTCGGCGTGGTTTCGTGTCCCCATTCCATTGTCTCTTTTATTAGCCGGCGCCATCGGCGTGGCACACAATGCCGAGAGCGCCCACGATCACTTTAAAAGGGGGAAAAAACACTGAGTAGATCCCGCCGTTGTCGGACCACAACAAAAAAAAAAAGAATAATCTTCCGGGCAGCTGGACGGATCCCGAAAATATATGGAAACCAAACAATTCAAGAAAAAAGGTTCGTTAGTTAATTGCTTCAATGTTTTCTTTTCATTCAATATATAGAATTCTCTGGACCACCAGCATGGTCCTTTGTCCTCAGTTAGGATTTACGTATTATTACTTACGAAGTGGCAGACTTTTTGGTCCTCCAACCACAAGACCCCGCCGCGTGGTGGGAATCAAAAGGGGGTGGGTGGGATGGCAAAATAAAAACAAATATTATCTGGCCTCTATCGGCTCCCTGCCCCTACAAAGTCGCGTTCTTCCCAAAAGATTCATACGGTGGAGAGTATCATAAAGAATGCCTTCATTTATCAGGATATAAACATACATTAATTAAGTTAGCCAGCTCTCCCGCGATCATTCTTTTCACAAGCTCCTAAAAAATAAAAAAACAATAATAATTTCGTCTTACAGCTGTCGGCTCCCTGACTCCCTCAATCGCGGTCTCCCAAAAGACAGTGCGGTAGAAGAGAAAAAAGTTGTGGAGAGATATCTTCGTTTGCGCGAGATATGAATTTATTTGGGCAGCCAGCCGCCCTCTCAGGCATTCTTTTCACAAAATCCCATAAAAATACAAAAGAATTCTGCAGCCTTCATATTTCGCAGAAGCTTCTAATGGCAATGGACTCTTTAAGAAAAAAAAAAGTAAAATAGAAGAATTTTATTGCTGTGGCACCGTGGATCATAATGATTCTCTGAAAAGAAAGGCATTCACTGTCTAGACCCCGTAGGCACACACACATATAAAAATCGTTAAGATACTCCCAATATATTTCACCAGAACGAAATGCACTTTGTTCCCCAATTATTTCCCTAACTTTCTTCCCTATCCCTTTCCCCCAAGATTATTGTATTCTCATTTCTGTGATTTTACTTAAAAAATCACGTGTTAACATAAACTGGTATTGGTGTACCTCTTTATTCCAGAACGCCACAATCTCTTTTTCAGCGTCGGTTTCATTATTGGGATTGACGACATCGCACCTCTGCCATTTTAATATCTTTTTGCTGAATGCGTTTTTTATATAAATCATCTCCCACGACATGTCTCGGGATAATTCGTCCCATCCTTCAAAATATGTCGCCAGGCACTCAGTGAACTGCCTCACAGTGCTGGGTATGGTGTGATGATCACCCGCCGTAGTCATCTGCAGCCCAACCAGCGTCCTCCGCGGTGACTCCATGAAGAAAAAACCGTCCACCAGTGGAAAGTTTTCAACCTTCGGTATGTACAGCACCCTGTACTCCATCGCAGTCCTCGTGACACCGCCTTCCAGTCCCGCTAATCCAACGGTGCGAGTGGGGTGCCCTTGATGGTTTACCTTCAGCACTGAATCCTGTGCTTCATTACGTTCTGGTGGCCTCAGCTCCTTGAGTTCCTCTACTAATGCACAGACAAGCTCCCCATACATGAATACGCGCAAACCTAATTGTTCCAGAGCTCGGGAAGCAAGAGCACCACGCGATCCCAATATTAGCAACAAAAGATCCTTCGCACCCATTTTCTTTTCCAAACGGTCCGCAATTCGAAACCCGATATCAGCACTTATTGATGCGTTGAGAAATAACTCAACACCTTTTTTTGTTATTTCCCGGACGACCTTCACAAGTTTGTGAGACGGATCCTCGGAATACCATAGCTTACTTCCTCTCAGGGCAAAGTACTCTCCAACATCAGTGAGTTTGATCGCCAACAAGGCACCATTAATGGCAGCCAAGCGATCTTTATAACTTTTCTCATCAAAGATGTGACGCGGAATCGGCCCAAATTTTTTCATGCGTTCTTCGACCTTTTTCCAGTATCCCGCTTGCTCATCTGTATCCAGACCGCGTTTCGTCCATGCACACATCGCCTTCACATCCATCTCGTCGGGACAATTCATGATGATTTGACTGGCTTTTGCTTGCGTCTCCCACTCATCATAGTTGTCCAGGTTTGGCGATGACACCACAATCATGCCCCATCCACTAGAAGGCGCAAGGCCTGTGTCGGGCGGTGTTCCTTTCTCCGTCACATCGTAAATAATATACCCTTTCACCCCACGCTGCCACAAACCACCCAAAACAACGATGGATGTTATCTCACCCACGTATTTTGTCACGGTTTTGGTGTTCTTGTCAAACACGTACATCGTGATTCCAAAACAGTGGACAACCACTTGGAGTTTCTCGACATCGTAGTGCAGCAGCTGGTAGAGAAGGTACGAGCCGGCAGCCATCGACTTCCCGATCCCGGCCGTCCCAACCAACACATGCGGCATGGGTGAAGGATTGAGAGTCAAATCAAAATTGCTGAACCACTCGGTGAGATCGCCCTTGACGATCTGCCACGCTCGCTCCACCTCAGAGTTAACACACAAGTCATTGCCACACCCATTCAGCACACTCAGAGTGTACGGCCATCCCTTGTCCGAGGTAAGCACCATCAGCCTGGGAGGTGCTTCACCGGATTGCTGCACAGCGTCATCCTTTTCGAGGGTGTAGCCAACTTTCTTGTACGTCCATGACTGTTTCGGTTTCCCCTTCTCCACCTTCATTCCCATTTCTGTGTCGTCGGATACTTCCATGACATAATGCCACCTCGCATTGTACACAGACTCGTACAATCCCTCCAGTATGAACATCCTTCAGCCGTCTTCGTTGAATTCCGCGCCTGAGAGAAGACTATTTATTATTCTCTCCTGCGTGAGAATCGATTATATACCTGTTTTCGTAGTTGGATTGAGTTAAAGCCGAACACCAACCACTAATCAAAAAAGGAATAGGAGTAATAGACAAAGGTCACAGGCATGACTGACAGCCTCAGCAAGAGAGTCATCCACACAGTATTCGATAAAAACCACATGCACAGGACAACCGCAACGACGGCGCGTGGGTGCCAACCACCCAAAACAGTTTTGGAGAGAGCAAACAATAAAAACAACGTGGTGCGCACGGAGGGCTCCTCCACGCATACCGCTCGCCACGGTCCCGCACCCGTGTGGCACCGCCGTCACCGCACACACTCTGCAAGAGGACGTAGGCATATCGTCACTGACACGCACACAAAATAAAAAGTAAATTCGGTGCAGCAATGGCCACACGCAAGAACCACAAATCATACACACTGCAACAGCGATGCATCACGGTAATCCCCCACAAAACAGAAAAGAGTGCAACTTGCATGCTTTATGGAAAATATCTGCGGTGTACATGGCAAAAGAGTGCCGTGACGCCGCCTTTCATATTGCATTCGCCATTCACGTATCACTGGGAAGCACGCAGCCACCACTCCTCCGCTCCGCTCCTCGTGCTGCTCGTGTCGCTCCACTGGAGGAAGTTGTCACCGCACATCCCCATCACCGTGCATTGCGGAACGCAAATCAACCACACGGCATGGGTGCGGTGCCACCCCGCCAATAAATCCCAGGAAACTCCCCACTGCCTCGTGTGGCACGGACGGCAGTATCATTATGCCTGCGAAAGGCTTTTTCTTCCCAACAAGAACGCGGCCCCACCACACGCCCGTAAAAACGTTTGTTCCGTCGCACGCAAAGGACTGGAGCGGGAGAACAGCAGGAAAGACAACACCGGCAGCCATGAGCAGCACGCACACGCAAACACACCGCTGCCCCGCATATCACCAAAAATAAAAATACCAAAGAAACATGCCACATCCCAACTGCAAATCGCGGGTGCGGTTGCAGCAGACACTCCCACCTCCTGGGCGTGTGCGGTCCCTCGCTGCTCGGCGCTCCAAGTGGGATCACCAAAAGCACCAATTCGGGAGCATTCGAACACCGCCACAGCAGTCACGCTCCCCATTTCTCACAAAGGCGAAGGCTTGCAGTGGCGCAGCGGGCGGCGGCATGCACAGTCGCAGAGTAATGGACTGCCGCGGGAAGCACGCAACGGCGATGCGCCCCTCCTTTGGGCCTCCCAACAAAATAAATGTGTCGTGCAGTCCCCGTGAGCAAAACACATTGAACCGTATTCAGCTCCACTACTGTGGCCATCCGCACACACAGCATGAGTGCGACAACGCAGGCCAGGAAGCACGAAATAACAGCATTCATCCCTCCAATAAAGGTCAGGCGGCGTCCGTGCTGCCTCCAACAATAATTCCACCCCACATCACCCTTCTGCATATCCGCAGCAAAAAGGCCCACACGGTGTACACTACATTACAATTTCCTAAAGAGCAAACCGGATCATCAGAGCGCTGCCCTCTTCTCAATGTTGGGTAGAGGCTCTCTGATCCTTGTCGCCGCCAGCCTGCGGTATTATGGAGGAGCATCACGTTCTCGGCATATCTCTCCATTTTCCCTCGCTGTCCCTAGGCCAAAAATGAAGTGACGTCCCACAAGTGGTTCCGGACGGTCTGAAGAAAGTGACGTATCAGACTCACTGAAACTGTGTGCGTGTGTGTTATTACGAGCGAGCGACACAATGCTCTCGCACATCCATGTATTCCGATCCTGCGCAACACCCATCTGGTGGTGCTGAAAGCGTTGGACACCAAACACGCACAAATCGCACAATGAATGCCTCTGGAGAACAAACCCCCCCATTTACGTCACCACAGGCACCGTGACAACAAAGTAACAAAAGAAATCCAACCTCTGCGCGTCCTCCCGCAAAAACGTGAAGACACACACGCTTGTCCCCTTAGCTTCACTCCAACTCCTCAAAAGTTGACAGGTCCATGGCAGGAGGAATCACGCCACTCCTCCCTCGCTCCCTGTCACGAGGCATGGCATTGCGCATATCCAGTGCATCTGCATCACCCACATACGTCCCTTTGGGGCCATCGCCTCGAGAGTCACCAAACACGCGCCGCTAGAAAGTATACTCCCAGTCTATGCTGCTTCTCCTGAGCAACCTTGCTACCTTGCCGCACAAACAAGTCCACAATTTACGCATTATGACTGCAGACACGTGCCAGTGGGAGCTCACGCCCTTTCCCTCAGCCTTGCCAAGGGCGTACGCCATACAAATGCCGGTCATAGGGCAGACATACACAGGCGCCGATACCCGTGACAGTGCGTGAGATACTCGCCGCAGAATGAGGTGCCGCAGGTCTCCGCTCACTGATCCAGATTGACCACGCTGAAGTCCACAACTCCCGTGGGTTTGGCATCCCGACAGGTCGTCGTGGTTCGTTGACTCCCATGGTGGAGGAGTGCCAAGCAAGCAAGAACCAAAAGCCTGGACACTCTGTGGAGCCAAAACGATAGAAAACACTGGCTGGCGCGGGCACAGCTAAGCGCCATGGGAGAAACATCTCAGCTCACCCCATGGAAAACACTTCACCAACATCACTGCAACATTGGCCTCTTGCTTCGTGGGTGTGTCACTTCTCTCTTCACTCCGTGCCAGCCTCCGTCCAATTCCCCGCCCACCAGTACTACGCGTCACACTGCGCTGCTTCCGCACAATCACACTTCGCGGCCAATCATCGTGACGCGCCTCCAACTGCAGTCGCATCCAACCTCGAAAGCCCTCGCACCCTCTTCCGCCCTCCTGTGTGTCGAGAGAAGACGCCTCTCTCGCAGTCTTCGCGTCCTCTCCAATAAAGCTCTGCAGTTGTACCCAAAAATCACCGGGTCTCTTGCCAAGAAGGAAACCGTGTGCGACGTGACCAATGTGAGCATAAACAAATTTAAAACACGGTTTATAGGCTCTGTGAAGTGCCCTGCGTGCGCCTGCATGCACGAGGGGAACACACATTGTGCGAGTCGTGCGAGATCATCATTCCAGCTCGCATCTCCACCAGGTGAGTCATTGAAGGCTCCATCCCACTTCACGACAGGTCGAATAACAGTGCACACGTAAGTGGCTGTGCTCTGCATTCACATGTGGTTCGCCTTTTGGGTCCAACGTCGTCAGGTGGTGGGAAGAGAAGAGTCGTATTATCATTCTTCCAATTGCTGCTGCTGCCGCCTCATTTCCCGTAAGGAGCCGCTGATCCCTCTCTCCTTGGCGATAAAGGGTCCTCACGCATGGGATGCATCCTGCCTCGTGTGACATGAGAAACAGCAGAGAGTCCCCAACGTTGCCAATGCGGGATTGGCCGTCCAGTGCGGTGATTACAACACGCTGGATCCGCCGGAGGATCGTCGTGCACACTTCAGTCCGCCCGTGGCGGATACAATCCTCGGGCAGCCACACCTGTGCAGAACAGAACACCCTTTTGGAGAACGCCGAGCAGCTCCACCGACGTGTCGGAAAGCCTCACAAAAAGAGGTCCGGTCAACCTGCGGCACATTACCGTGAAACTTTAATATCCTGACATCGAGAAGAGCGTTTCTACCTGAGAGTGTTCGCCCCATCATTATCATCATCACTGCTCAAATCATCTCAACAGGCAGCAATGGCATCGCTCTCGTATTGCTCATGCCCGTCGGCCTCCTCCACCCGCCGCCTCACGTCCGTGTGAATGAAGTATCGTCATGCACAGCGATGCGCCCCCTCGTTTCAGATAAACACCAATATTTTATAGTCACCAAGGTAGCAGTTCAGTTCTCCCTCCACAGGCACACCTCATAGAGGACCTCCTTCTGTTCCCTTTGCCGAACCAACGCACCGCACCCAGTGGATAAGCCCTGGTAGTTCCACCAAAAAACAAGTGTTCGATTCCCACAGCAGCGAATACTCTGTGTGATGTGGAACGCACAGTTTATTGTGCTAGTGCACCGCCTCGACGGCCGCCTCGCAATGGTGCAAAGATGTTCTTTGCCCCTGCCTGAGTGAGGCCTAAGCCCCACATTACACGCACACAGAAAAGTACACGGCGCATTTGAAAATATATTAATATTTTTTCACGGCACACCTATGGGAAGGAGCACCACCCCCGTATGCATGTTGGCAAAGCAATGGCCCCACAACGGCGGTGCTAAAAACACGCATCCAGAAACAGAGGAAAGAGAAGAGGGGTGTGGAACACTCACAAGAAATGATGGATAGCCCATTTAAAAGCGGCAGCAAAGAAAAGGAAAAAATAGCAGCAGTAGTAGTGGTGGTGACCATCATTTCCTTTTTTCTTCCCTTCACTCGCTAATAGCCCAAACACGTGGGGTTCAAAAGTCCTTTTCACACAAAATTGTGCGGCAGTTAGCCTCTCTCCAACCAGCCGCCTCAGTACATCCAAAAGAGCACACAAGAAAACCACAAATACCCATGGGGGAAAAAAAGAGAGAAAAACAATAAAAGATCCCACGGCATTAGTACGGAGGCGGAACGACACGCTTTTCGCACAAGTATTCGTAAAGTCGGCCAGAGAAAAAGAGATCCGGGCCCAAGCAAACTCGGACGCCACAGGCGGTTATTGTGCGCCTTTCAGGTTTTTCAGCCGGCTCCTGTTCCACCCGAGGGAAGAGGGCTGGCGGAATGTGATCCTCGCCGCAACGAGTCGCTGCATCGGGGGCCAAAGAAACAAATCCTCGCATATTGCGGGTGTCAAGTGGCCGCCCCACCGCATTTCCACGTCGCTATCGCTCGCCTGCGCACGTGCGTCTCTTCACGTACCCCGTCGCTCCTCAAGAATTCTTTCCGCAGGAGTCCTCAAATGCGGTGGACGCTTGAGAGCAACAAGCCAAGCCTCGCAATCGCTGCCAGCCTCACAAACCACCTCCAATGATTTCCC